GAATAATTTTTAAAATATGAGGTCAAAGTCCTTTCGACCTTTAAAATCTGCTTAAGCCACGTCTGTGAAGGTTAGATGAGGACCATCACCACAAAGATAAGGGTAGCAACCTGTGCAAAATAAACAGCTGCTGAATGGCACGAGCAGTCTGAGCCTGGAGCAAAAACCAGAAACCACAGATAACCAACCACCCACCTCTATCTCCCCTGAGGTGCTGGAAAAGATAGCAAGACATTGGTGGTGCAGAGATGCTTATGTGTTTGAACAAGGAAGTGGAAAGAATTCCTTGGGACAGAGCTCTAAGGAAAGTTCAGAAGCAAAATGTAAATTATAGGCATTTTCTCCACAAAAGTCAATACAGTCTAGTAGTGCTGCCTCTAAAGATGTATTCTCTTGACTATATTATTGAGATCTATACTGTCCTGTCGAACTCAAGCAAACATCCTTTGGATACAAAATATAATGCACACACACACACACACAAATAAATAAATAATAAAAAATAAAAAAAAAGATGAGGCCAGGACTGTGGCATAGAAGGTTAAGCCTCTGCCTGCAGTGGTATTCCATATGGATTCAAGTCCTGGCTGCTCCACTGCTAATCCAGCTCCCTGCTAATGCACCTGAGAAAGCAGCCAAAAGATGGTCCAAGTGCCTGGGCCCTTGTACCCATGTGGGAGATCAAGATGAAGCCACTGGCTCCTAGCTTTAGCCTGGCTCAGCCTCAGCCATTGTGGCCATCTGGAGAGTAAACCAGCAAATGGAAGATTCTCTCTGTCTCTTTCTATATATATAACCCTGCCTTTCAAAATAAGTAAATAAATCTTTAAAAAACGAAACAAAACAAAATACTAACCTGGGCTGGTTTGTGGTGCAGTGGGTTAAGCTGCTGTGTGGGACACCAGCATCCCATAGTGGAACACTAGTTCAAGTCCCAGCTGCTCTGCTTCTGATACAGCTCCCTGCAAATGCACCTGGGAAAGCACCAGAAGATGGCCTAGGTACCTCGCCTCTGTCCACAGGGGAGACCCAGATGGAGTTCCGAGCTCCTGGCTTCAGTCTGGCCCAGCACCAGCTGTTGTGGCCATTTAGGGAGTGAACCAGCAGATGGTCGATCTTTTTCTCTCTGTGTCTCTCCCCCTGTGTCACTTTGTTTTCAAATAAATAAAAATATATCTTTTATAAAAAATTGTCCCAATGGAACTTATGCCCTAACTGAGAGAGACAGGCATTCACTAAAAACAAACAACTTGGGGCAGGTGTTACAGAACAGCAGCTTAAGCAGCTACTTGGGATGCCTACATCCCATATCAGAGTGCCTGGTTCAAGTCCCAGTGTCTCCACACTTCTGGTCCACCTTCAAGCTACTGTGCCTGGGAGGCAGTTGATGCTGGCCTGAAGACTGAGGTTCCTGCCACCCATGTGGAGATGGTGTTCCTGGTTCTGTATACAGTAGTGTGAAATATGTGTACTACAGAGAAAAATAAAGCAAACATTACAAGGTGGGGAGGGGGAGTTGCAATTTAATCAAGATGGTCAGGGCATTACTGAGAAGGTATTGGAGCGATTCTCAAAGATGGTGGTGACAGGCATACCCAGGAGACATCTGAAGATAGAATGTCTGACATGATAAAACATCCTAGGTAAGGATGAGGTAGGAAAGTAGCTACTGTTTATGAGACACAGCAAAGAAATCCAGAGAATCAAAAGGAGGAAGAAAAACAAGATCAGGATTTAATCCTCTGCTCCTCCCCTCTTGTCATGTTGTGTAAGGCTACTGCCCTCTGATGAAAGCCATAGCTCCCATCATGCAACTCTCCATAGAGGGCTCTGTTGTTGGATTTGGAAACTGTTCCCTGCAGCCCTGGAGGCCAAATTTTAACTAGTGCCGATGTATGACTAACCAATCACCTGATATCCTACTCAGCCCTCTGCAATAGTCAAGCTCCTAACTATTCCAATCTAAGTGTGCCATCTGGACCCTGGCAGCACCCTAATTCAGAGTCTAGGGCAATGGTACAGGTGGGAGACAATGATTATTTGGGCCATGATGTTAGTAGAATGACAAAGACCATTTAGATTCGAATTTGGTGACAGATTTGATGGCAAACATGATTCCATATTCTAGTTTATGCTTTGAAATGATGGAGTGTCCAAAATTGAGATTCATTTTTTAAAATTCACAAATCAGTAGAAAACATACACAAATATACTGAAAATGTCTCATAGGAAAAGGAATCTGTGCAGCTTACACACAAATGCAAAGATGCCCAGTCTTACTATTAACAAAAGGACTGCAAATTAATAGGATATAACCACAGTGACCAACAACAAAAATGAAGTAAACACAAATATATTATTATGGAAAGATCTGTAAGATTCATATTGCTAGAAAGTGGGTACTGCCTAACAGTATATTTCTATTTTGGTGTTGCCTTTTTTTTTAAAGTATGCATACATGTATTGAAATAAAATTCTGGGATAAAGCCGGCGCCGTGGCTCAATAGGCTAATCCTCCACCTTGCGGCGCCGGCACACCGGGTTCTAGTCCCGGTTGGGGCGCCGGATTCTGTCCCGGTTGCCCCTCTTCCAGGCCAGCTCTCTGCTGTGGCCAGGGAGTGCAGTGGAGGATGGCCCAGGTGCTTGGGCCCTGCACCCCATGGGAGACCAGGAAAAGCACCTGGCTCCTGGCTCCTGCCAGGATCAGCGCGGTGCGCCGGCTGCAGCGGCGGCCATTGGAGGGTGAACCAACGGCAAAGGAAGACCTTTCTCTCTCTGTCTCTCTCTCTCTCACTGGCCACTCTGCCTGTCAAAAAAAAAAAAAAAAGAAGACCTTTCTCTCTGTCTCTCTCTCACTGTCCACTCTGCCTGTCAAAAAAAAAAAAAAATTCTGGGATAAAAGAAACAGTCAAGCATGATTGCCTCCTGGTAGCTGATGAGAGAGTTCTATTTTTTTACTATATATCCTTTTGGATTATCTGACTTTTTTTTTTAAACAAGGTATATATATTATTTTTCAATAAATAAAAAATTACCTAAAGCAGTTCCAGGAAAAAGGATCAGCAATAAACTACCTTGCAATATATAAAAATCTACGGTGTCCAGTAGAGAAACATATTTGAACAGTTCAACCTATCATACAGTTATTTTACTAATATTCACATTTTCTTAGAAGACAAATAATGTGACCCATAATATTTTGAATCACAGGTATTCTTCATTTGTGGTAAAAATTAAGCCTATTTATAAACTTTTGGGGTTTTCCAAGTATTAGTCACATATGGAAAAAAGACAACAAGAGTTAATATGGTTTCAGATGGAAAAAACAAAAACATGTGACAGGTTCCTGTTAAGAGCAGGCTTAATGACAGATGATCATTTTGGCAATAATCACCATATCAAATGGAACAGTCCACATATGATTCCTGTTTTACTGATATTTTAATTTCCAGAATCAATGTATTTTAGAACTACCAGGAAATGAAAATATAGGAAACAAAAAAAAAGGACTGATTTTGTTCAGGCTTGTCTTGAAGCATTCTATAAACATCAGCAAATCATTAAAAATTCTGTGACATGTTGTACTAGAAGAAATGTCACACAATTTCTTTGAGGATTCTCTAAACATTTATAATATATATGTACATAAATATGCTAATATAGGAGGGGGCATTTAGCCTTGCAGTTAAGATAACTTCATGCCACATCAGAGTTCCAAGTCCCAGCTCTGGCTTCTCACGAATGCAGATCCTGAGGCACTATGGAGATGGCTCAACTAACTGGGCTCCTATCACCCTCACTGGAGACCTCAAGTGCATTTCTGGCTCCTGGGTCTGCCCTCTGCCCAGCCCCAGCCCACTGCAGTCTTTAGGGGAGTGAACCAGCAGACAGAGGCCCTTTGTTTCTCTGCCTCATAAATAATAATAAATTTATAAAGTACTAATAAAAATTTAGAAAGGATTTTGCACATTTCATTTCTGACATTATCATAGCCTTAAATCATTTCTTGTCATTTCTCATCTTCCATCTGCTACTTCACTCCTTACTGCTGCAATCATGACTGACATTGAAACTTGAGATAAAGTTCTCCTTTTACCAGAACCATAACACCTATTTTGCCCAATAAATTTTGGCTAAGAGTGATTGGTTGGTTGGTTATTTATTTATTTATTTATAAAGTGAGAGAAAAAGAAAGCGCTCCCATCCATTGGTTTAGCAAAGAGGTTTTTAAAATATTCATTTATCTATTTATTTGCTTGTTTATTTATTTATTTTTGACAGAGAGAACGAGCGAGTAAACCATCCTTTGGTTTACTCCCCAAATGCTCACAGAGGCTGGGGCTCAGCCAGGGCCAAAGACGCAAGCCAGGAACACAAGTCAAGTCTCCCACAAAAGTTCAGGACCCAATTACTCAAGCCATCACCACTGCCTGCCAGTGTCTTCATTAGCAGAAAGTTGGAGTCAGGAGCCAGGACCGGAAGTTATACCAGCTACCTTGAGGGGGCATGGGTGTGTGCTAATCACTATGTCAAAGTCTGCCCCAAAGGTGTTTGTTTGTTTGTTTTTTAAGTTACCAAAATCTGCTTAAATACAAAAAATTCCTCAACTGGTTTTTGTAGCACGACCCAAGACTTGAATATACTCATGATGAGAAACCTGATCCATAGCATTCATGCTTCACTGTGGCTGTGCCCATGAACTCCTCATCTCAGAAGACATGCAAAAACACCTTAACCGAATCTCTCCAAATCTCTACAGCTTAACGCTATCAGTTTAAATTGGAAGACACCTAATGGAACACAATGTATTTTTAATGCTTTCATATGCCACAAAATTGTAGAAAAAAATCATAAAATAAGCCATTTGTCTTTAAATAACTTTATCAGTGGATCTCAGGTGCTTATATTCATCACTTTATTAAACTGTTACATTTAAACCAAATCAATTGCTTAAAAATATCAAATGATATGAATGAAATAACCACTGCAGCAGTATTTACCTGTTGCATCAAATTCAATCGGCTGGCACCGGCGGTTGGAAGACCAGTCACATTTGAGGACTTGCCCTCCTTCTACAATCCCAGGCTGAGTAGTGTTTGCTTTGGGAGCTCCCACCAGAAGAAACATCCTCCTAAAATACAAAAGAAGAAATAGGGTTTTTTTTAAAAAAAATTTATTTATTTGAAAAGCAGACTTATGGGAAGACAGAGAGATCCTCCACCTGCTGATTCACTCTCCAAATGATCACAACAGCCATGGCTGGGAAAGGCTGAAGCCAGGACCCAGGAGTTTCATGCAGGTCTCCCATGTGGGTGCAGGGGCCCAGAGACCTGGCCATCTTCTGCTGCTTTCCCAGACTCATAAATGAGGAGTTGGATTGGAAGTGGAGCAGCTGGTACTCGAATCGGTGCCCATATGGGATGCCAGCATCACTGGTGGCAGTTTTACCCGCTACACTACAACACCAACCCATTAACAAAATTTTAAATGACGTAAGGCATAAGTAATAACATGATTTATAAGGAACAATCATTTTCTTAATGTGATGAACAATTTTTTAAAACTATTCCCTAAGGATATAATTTCCTTATATAGTTGAAACTTTCTTACACACATCCACTATTTGTTATAATTATTATTCATCCTGTAACATTACAAACCAACTGTAGGGTTTTATTCATTTAAAAATTTATACTGGTCAAGCTATATATACGTTTTAAACTTATGTACAAAAACAAACAGTGTATTATATGTCATAGATCTCAATAAGCTGTTTTTAAAATGTATGCTGGGGGTGGGAACTTGGCACAGCAGCGAAGCTGCCACTTGGGATACCCACATCTCAGCCTGAAGTGCCTGGTTTGAGTGCCAGCTCCTCTTCTTCTGATCCAGCTTCTTGTTAACGTGCACCACAGTAAAGCAGTAGATGATGGCTCAAATACCTGGGTCTCTACCACCCACATTACAGACCTGAATTGAGGTCCAGGTTCCTGGTTTTGAGTTCTGGGCTCCTGGCTTTAGCCTACCTAGCCCAACTCTAACTATTACAGACATTTGGGAATGAACCAGTGTCTATCTCTCTCTATTGCTCTGCTTTCAAATAAAATGAAATTAAAATACATATTAAATACATATAAAATATATACTAAAATGTGTATATATATTATATCCATATTATACACACACACACATGCCGGCTAGATTCAGGGAAGTTTGGTTTTGTCTTTTGTGTGGGAGTGTGATCTGCTTAGTGTTTTCTATAACCTGGATTCTTATAAAAAAATGAACAAAGAATTCTCAATAAATTATTGCAAAGTATGATAATTCTAAATATTACCATTTACATTTAATAGTGATTAATAAATCTCTCTTCACAAGACTAACTAATCAATTCTTGGTCAAAGATTAGAACCACTACTCAATTTCTTATCAGGGTAAAATAAACAGACGGCAAGATCATTAGGAGTCCAAATTTTTAAGTACAAAGAGACCTTTCCTCTAGTTGCTTTCTATTTATTCAAAATGAGACTTTTCCTTTTTTTTTAAGATTTACTTATTGGGGCCGACGCTGTGGCGTAGCAGGTAAAGCTGCCGCCTGAAGTGCTGGCATCCCATTTGGGTACTAGTTCGAGTTCCGGCTGCTCCACTTCCAATCCAGCTCTCTGCTATGGCCTGGGAAAGCAGTGGAGAATGGCCCAAGTGCTTCCTCCCTGCACCCGTGTGGGAGACTTGGAAGAAGCTCCTGGCTCCTGACTTTAGATCAGCACAGCTCTGGCCATTGTGGCCATCTGGGGAGTGAACCAGTGGATGGAAGACCTCTCTCTTTCTCTGCCTCTCCTTCTCTCTCTGTGTAACTCTTTCAAGTAGACAAATAAATCTTTAAAAAAAAAAAAAAAAAAGATTTACTTATTTATTTGAAAGGCAGAATTACAGAGAGGCAGAGAGAGAGAGAGGTCTTCCATGCACTGGTTCACTCCCCAAAACGCTGCAATGGCCGGAGTTGGGCGGATCCAGAGCCAGGAGCTTCTTCCAGGTCTCCCACCTGGGTGAAGGGGTACAAGCACTTGGGCCATCTTCTGCTTTCCCAGGCCATAGCAGAGAGCTGGATTGGAAGTAGAGCAGCCGGGTCTCAAACCATCGCCATATGGAATGCCCGCACTGCAGGCGGCAGCCTGAAACATGGATTGACTATTTCCTCTACATAAAGCATAGCACAGGCACTAGAGACACGAAGACAGATAAAACCACCTTGGTTCCTTTTCTCAGTAGCATTTACATTCCTTTGGATGCAAGAAAGTTGCCAAAAAAGAAACAAATTACTCAGTTACAAATGCTGTGAAGGAAGCAAACAAGTGGCTGAGAGAGATTATTTGGGAATAGGGAGGGGAGGCCCTCTTCAGATTAAGCAAAAATTTCTCTAATGAATTGAGAGGTGAGACTTCTTGTAGATAAAGCAAGGTTTCTCTAAGGAAAGGGTTTTTAAAGAATGGGGAGCAGAGATCTTTTTAGATAATGTAGTCAGGGCAATTTTCTCTGAGGAACAGAACTAGGACAGCTCTTAGGACTTTTTGTGTACTGGTGGTGGAAGGTGAGATGAGGGAATGAGATAAAGAGGTGGAAGCAGCACTCCAAGCAGGAGGTAGAAAGACCTCAGGCAGGAAAGAATTCATCGTTGCTGAAGCAAGACAGCAAGCTAAGGGCTAGCGCTTTGCAACAGTAAATTCAGCCTCAGCCTACAGTGGAGTCCTGGCGGCTCCTCTTCCAATCCAGCTCTCTGCTAATGGCCTGAGAAAGCAGTGAAAGATGGCCCAAGTCCTTGGGCCCCTGCATCTACGTGGGAGACCTTGAAGAAGCTCCTGGCTTCAGATCAGCCCAGCTCTAGCCCTTGCAACCATTTGGGGAGTGGACCAGCAGCTGGAAGACTTTCTCTGTGTGTAACTCTGCCTCTCAAGTAAATAAATAAATAAATATTAAAAAAAAAAAAAAAAAGACAGCAAGCTGGCAGGGGCACAAGATCACATCTGGGAGCCCAGCAAAAGCAAGGTAGAGAAGAGCTTGCGAGCCATGGTAAAACTTTTTCCATTTAAAGGAAAGTAAGTGCCATGCCCTGTGGGGAAAGCATTAAGAAAGAGGATGGCCAAAATAATAATAATAATAGTAACACAGAAAGCAAGAGACTTGCAACGCATCCAGGAAGAGATGAGAGTGACCTGCAGCAGGAAGGGAGGGCAGAGACAGAGATGAGTGAGCAGATCTGGGAAAGAGACAGGGATGGTGGCTTGGACGGGGATAAAGGGAAGATTAAAGAAGGCCAGCCAGGTTTCCCTCTTGACTGTACGGATATGAGGAAAGCCTGGAGAGAAGGAAGCAGAGACAGATTACCTACGGACAGGAAAACATGAATTCGGTTCTCGGTGTGAGCTGGAGGTGTCTGTGTGACACGTGCTTGGTAGTGTGAGGCTCTGAGGAGAGATCAGCCGAGGAGACAATGTGTTCACACAGTCAGGACGAGCTCAACCAGGTCAAGTCTAGCAAGAAGACACCAAGGAGTGAGCTCTGCGGGGCAATAACATTTGGGAGTCAGGAGGAGAAAGATGATATAGGGGACTGTCAGTCTTTCCTCACTAGAAGCAAACTGAAATGTAGGAAGAAAAAAACAGGGCAGAAGTCGACACAGTACTAAATAAATGCCACCATCCTTATCAATCTATTTCTTTGAATACTAAGTCTCGTACATTCTTCTGGCAAAGGAAACATTTTCCTTTTTTCTTAAAGTGCAATCATTTTAACTTTTTAAGTCAATTACAATTTCATTTATTCTGGCTAGGAGCTGTCAAATCTCATCTAGTCTAGATGAGACCTGGCTGTGTGTGGATTCCAGGTTCTGCTTTAGAAACTTATCCTCAAACCCACAAATTGAAAATAAAAATGCTACTCTGAATCAAACCACGCCCTGTTTAATAAAGGTTTATGCAGTCATATTTGGCATCAGTAAAACACCAATGCTGACTCTCACCCATTGTAGCAAGATTTTGGAAAATAAATCAACTTTCGTTCATCAAAAAGCTTTCCCAAGGAGAAAAAATATGACTGAGTAAAAGAACCCCTGTTACCCACAATTAAGAGAGCAGCTCCTTGTCAGCACAACTCCTTCCATATTTTCTAAAGAGAGCTGGTTTCAACATGGCTTAATTACTATATACAAGCAGATACATTATAACATCTACATTTATATATGTAAACAAATATAATGGTTTTTCTTTCCAATAGGTCAAAAATGTGACTACAAAAATCACAAACTGATCCTCTTCAACTGAGTTAAATAATTTTTGAGTGCATGTTGGAGAAAAACAACATTTTAAGTTAGCATCTTTTTCAAGATCTTGACAGTGTAAAGTCCTGAGTCATTCATTCTCTAAATGCTCCCAAGACAGGTAATAAAGCATAGGTGTGTAAGTGATTTTAGTTCCACGAGCTCAGGGTAGGAGAGTTATCAGAACTTGCCTAAGCACCTGCAAGCCAAACTCAAATCTGGACTGTCATAATATAATACATTACAGAACACTTTATAATTTATCATCAAAACTGTTCTTCCCATCTTATGATAAATTGCTTCTTAGAATTTAGGGTATCCTAATGCATTTTTGTGCCTGCCACAAATAAGAATTCAAGGCAAGTTTCTGAGTTGATAGTAGAAGAGCAAGTAAATTTACTAACTATAGGTCTCAATCTTAAACCACCAACATATAAATAAATCATTTTCACTATACTCAACCCCTCTAGAATTTAAACACCATCCTCTATTAAACACTCTCTATTGAAATCAACCTTACAACAATTCCCTTGTGTTTCAGATTTCACACAATTCCATTACCTGGCTCTGTAAGACAGAGAAGGCTGGGCAGTCATGAGGGATAGCCTTTAACTCATGCAGAAAAGAGTGCAATAGATGAGTTCTCTGAACGAAAACAACAGAGCTCCTTGGGTAAGACAGAAACCAGGCTGCTGCTTTTCATCAGAACATTTGCACATTATACACATGAAATGACAGTAATTAGATTACTAACACGGATGTTCATCAAGTTCTGCGAGGCATACCTTCAAGTACAGTCTTGTGCATTGCTGAAATGC